GTGTGTGTGTGTGTGTGTGTGTGTGTGTGTGTGTGTGTGTGTGTGTGGGGTAAAATATCTGATAAACCACTGGATAGAGTTTAATAAAACTCTCAGCAAGTAATCATTAACCAATGTCAAGGATATAGCAATGCTTTGGTATTATTATTTTTTTCTCTGCCCCTTTTGAATACCCCCTTTAAAATTTAATTTTTAAACATTTTAATTAATTAAAGAATGGAAGACTGTTTTTAATGGACATATATTTTTTTACATTCTTTCACCCTGCTAATATTTCAAAGCAGGGATTGATGGCATATAAAGCCTATTTGTGCTTTAATCAGATTTACACATCTGCAACCATTCCTTTTTTAGGCCGTCAAAGCAATAAAGAGGAAAAATCAGTGGGTCATGTGTGTTAAATTAATTTTTTTGTCATTCAAAGTTGGCTCTGTTTCTACAGAGAATTACAGTTTCAGTGTGGTTCCTTCCTGCCACACTCGGTCACCGTCTGACTGTTGGTGTTACACCATTACTCTCACTCCTGTTCACACTCATATGCTCACAGACATGGTCACAAAGCATCAGGTAACAACATTTTCACTCCCTGACCTCACATCGCCTTATCTGGCTCATCTATATTATCACTGACAGTCCTGTGGGATGTTGTTGCCGCACCTGGACAACAAATCTGATGCTGCTGCTGAGTCACAAACGAGCAACATATCAAAATAAAATACTTTTGTATTAGATTAAAATGTCATGAAATAACAAAGGAGACTGGAAGTCTGCAAAAGAAATATGAAAAGTGAACATTTTTTTTGTCTTATGGGTAAACAAAAGAAAGTTATTGGCTAGTTCACTGTTGTGGAAAAACACATAAGCCTCTTTTAATGGCCTGGAAGGAGCCAAGTGAGGTGCATTGCTAACAACAGTCCTTAACTGGCCAAGAGTACCTGCAAAATCTTAGGAAAGGCCTCCCGATGTTAAGTACATATTAAACCTTTAGTTATACAGTTTAGTTCCCATTGAGCCTCGAAGACTCATTTACAAGAAACCTGTTACGTACATACAATATACAGGCAGATGAGAAAAAGAGAACACATGGGTGGAGGTCGCCCCACGAAAAATCATCTCACACCATGTCCTGGCTGGGAAAGAGTGTCAAAGATGCATAAAAAATACCTGGCAACATAAAACAGCAACATACAATGACATCATACAATTATGCATAGAGGTCGACAAAGACGGTGAATTGTCCATAGACACGCCAGAAAGTTCCAAAGTTTTGATAAGATGGTACAGTGTCCATCAGCATCATGGTTCTGACAATGCCACAGATATCCTTGGGGAGGTGGGAGGCAGAAACTTCTAGTTTATGTATCCTCCAGGAACAATTTGAGATAAGTTGGCCTGTCCAAGGCCATTGGGGAGGCCAAATTCAGATAAACAACAATTGTTTTGAACGCCAGACTCTGTTTTATGTCTGCCTTCAAGTTCTGCTGGTACACTCAATGGCGAATCCAAACAGCCAGATTTGTGGACATTCCGCCCGGTCTGTGCTCGATTAGCTTTCTCCAAGAATTAAACCTTCATGCTGGTGAGTTCCAGGAGCTGCAAGTGGCCTACGATTCTCAGAAATTGCGTTCAGCTTGCGGTTGAGCTCGTTAAGCATATGAGTCTGAGAGCTCGAGGCGCAAATTAATCCTTCACATAAGGCTGGCAGCTTTACCATGGCCGAAACGGCTGCTGATGTCTTCCTAATTTGTCGATATCCAATTCCAAAAAGCAGAAACCCTGTCATCATGAATCCAATAATGTACACATCTTCTACGTCCTCCACGGACAGCACAGATAGGCACATCATCTTCCACTCCCCTCAGGAATCAATGACATACCCAGCTGCGTGGGTCCGTTCAGGGCATGAGGGCTCTCCAGCACCCTGTTGTCTGGTGGAAAAAAAATGATCAATTTCATTGTGGGACCAGCTGACCAAATCCATAACACTTTTTGATTTGGAAGATGTGTAAAGAGACACTCTGAGGTTGACAGGACAAGAGAGGAAAAAAACAGGAGGGAGGGAGAGAGGGTAAAAGCGACCGTCTTCGTCAAGAACGAAAGAGAGGACCCCCCTAACTATATAAACTGCAGTATTTTATTTGTAATATTTAGATATTTTTAAACTATGTATACTACATACTTTTTTGTATGCTTATCGACAAAAAGGTTTGTGCCGTGACAAAAGGCTGCCACTGGCACCTGCTTCGGAAACTTGCTGTTCCCAAATTTCACTTCGTTTTAAAAAGATAAAACCTCACCTTTTCCATCTTTGTGCTGACACCTTCATGAGTACCAGACAGAAGAAAGAAAGAAAAAAAAAAAAAGGCTGAGATGTTTCACAAAGGGAAAACCGTTTGAAAACTCATCAGACAAGTAATTCTCTGCTGGTTTGTTGCAGAACACGATTATAAACAGATCGTTTTTCTACACTTCCAGCAGCGGCAACAACACTGGCCGTAAGTGATTTACTTCAAAAACAGAAACTTTTAAATTATCTTTATGACTACACATAGCCAACGTGTGGTTTCTACAATATCCTTAAACATTTAACTCCAAAGGTGATCATACTGGCAGTATTGCAATTTGATTTTTTCCCCCTTTTGTATGAATAACAAAAAGACATTTCCTAAAAAGAACAGAGGCAGCTGTGTTCCTCCATGACCCCGCTCTGCACCACAAATGATTGATTGCTCATCTCTCCACTGCACCCTTCCTTCCTGTTAATTTTTTCCCTTTTCGTCCATATTTCTCACAATGCGTTTCCTCATCTCTTTTTTTCCTGTGTCCTTTTCTAATTCCTATTTCTCGTAGTATAAAGACCTTTTGTGGAAACAGGAAGCTGAAAAATCGCGCAGAAAATTACTTGAATTTCTTCAATCACTTTCTTTTATTATTATTAATTATTTTATTTTCATTAAATGTTTAGATGATTGGAAAACGCAAACTTTTCAACTGATCCTACAAATGTGTTCTCGACTGCCATCGAAAGGCACGTGATCAGTTATTGTGTGTCTGGTTATTTGTCTGTCTGTTAGCAAAAATATCTTTTGGAACAGCAGATGGTTTGGGTTGAAAGCAAACCTCAGAAAGTGAAATTGGACGAATGTTAACAGCTTATTAACTTTTGGTGTTTTGATTCAATATGGCTGTTTTGATTCAAGATGGCTGTTCTTAGAGGATCCGAATGGCAAACGAGAAACACAGCAAGAACATCACGCAGCGTGGGAACATGGCCAAGACGGCGAAGAACTGGGTGGAAGAGAAAGGGGTGGGGCCATGGCTGCTGGCGCTCTTCATCTTCGTCGTCTGTGGATCAGCCATCTTCCAGATCATCCAGAGCATCAGGATGGGCATGTAGGGTGATGTCATCAGCAGGGGGCGGGGTCAAATCATGGCGACGATGGCAGGGAGACGTGACACTGATACCAATGGACCGCCGTATTTCTGACCCGAAGAAAACCGACAAAAACATTCCTGAACTCTGACCGCCATCATTCCCACATAAACACAAGCCCCACCCAAACAAGAACAAGCCCCTCCCACCCTTGTTGCCACGCCCCTTCAGGGACCAACCTATTATCTGTGTTGACTTAACATGTTGCTGCTCACTGACCTTCTCACAGCGTTACCGTGTCACCCTGTGCCTTTCTCTGTTTACCTGAGCTTTGGCTCCGCCCCTCTGTTTACCTCATCAGTCTGGTGGGGGTGCTAAAGTCCAGCTGTTTGTGTCAACTGTCCCAGCTGATCGGATCTGTCTCCTCCTCGCAGGAAGTGACCTCATGAATCAGGAGGTGGAGTCTGCACCGTGTGCAGCCGTGCCTCAACATTCCTGTTTGATCAATAAAGTTTCATTTTCAAAACTGAAAAATAAAAAAAGATGGCTGTTCCTGCTAATCAAACTTTATCAAACATAAAAATAACTATAGCTCCAGGAATTGAAAAAGCAAAATTGAAAAGCTGTTGAAACTTATGTGGCAGTATCTGTGTCAGAGTCACCTACAATGTGCTAAGTTGCACAAGATTTCATAAAATGGTAAAACTGCTCATAATGTTGTGTTCAAGATTTGACCTGAGATGATTTTAATTTTAAACTCAGGCTTGTAAAGCAGTGTGCGATATGCATTCCTTTGATTGTTTAGCCTGTAATTTTATTCATGCAATTGTATAAATTCAGCTGATAAAATATAAATAAACTGAAACATTATGGGTGGTGTGCTCCATGGATTATTTTTTTAATGAGAAAAAACTACTATTAACAAATTAAATATCCCTTTTATGTGTAAAAATATGAAATAGTAGTTAATAATATTACTCTAAAACCTTTTTAGGACTTTTAATGGAATAGTGACAAGATTTTTCTACATCTCAGCTGTGGCTGAGTGGTTAGAGCGGCCGTCCTCTAATGGGAGAGTTGTGGGTTTGATTCCACCACATGTTGAAGTTTGAAGTGTCCCTGGGCAAGACCCTGAACCCCTCATTGCCTCCGATGTGTCCCATCAGTGTATGAATGCTATCTAAAGCACTGATTAATCTCTTCAGATGATTTGTTTGATTAGCTTTGTAGAGATCTAGTAGAGTGCTGTATGAATGGGTAAATGAGGACACAGATTGTAGTGTAAAGTGCTTCGAGTATCTTGATTATATAGCAAGGTGCTATATAAGTACTGTCCATTTACCATTTATTTGTTTTGAAACAAATGTAGGTAAAATATAAAAAAATAAAGTTAATTTATGTTTGTTTTTTTTACTTAGGAGATACAACATCACCTTCCTGAATAGATATTATCGGTCTGATGGCACAGACGACCATCCCTTCATTTGCTCGACAGAGAGAGAAAACGGGATGCTTCACTGCGCTGATGTGCCACGCCGCCGTGTGGGCGGGGCTTACTGCTTCCTAGGTGCTGAGGAAGCTCAGTCTGAGACCAGACGAACAGCAGACAAGCCGGTGTCCTGTGTGAACTGGTATCAGTACTATAATGAGTGTCGAGCTGGGGAAATAAACCCCCACAAAGGAGCTATTAACTTTGACAATATTGGATATGCATGGATTGCCATTTTTCAGGTAAATTTAGGGAGAATTTATTAAATAAAAGTTTTGAGGACATGTAAGCTACACGTTACTACAGTTACATTTGGTTTGTTTGTTTTCATTCAGGTAATTACTCTGGAGGGTTGGGTAGACATCATGTACTATGTGATGGATGCACACTCCTTCTACAACTTCATCTATTTTATTTTTCTCATTATAGTAAGTATTCACACAAACAAACATTAAAGGGATAGTCTGGTGATTTTTGATGTTCTGTCAAATAGTTATCAACAGTTAGTGCCTTAGGAGAGAGATGTGTGGACAACAGGGTATAGAAGTATTTCTCTAGGCTAAGCTAGCGGCTGACCAAAAATCACCATTTATGCTATGCCACAAGCTTCTAAAGAAACTTAACTAAAAATGTCAAACCAGCGTGAAAGGATGCCACATTAGCTAATCAACCATTACAGCTTTACATGATATCGTTTAGTTTGCCATTGTTTTCTCAACCGAGCAACATCTACACAAATGTTCTCCTGAGGCTGTCCAGCTGTATGGCATTTTTGAGAGAGTTGTTTTATTAAGTCAAAAAAACAAAATAAAAGAAGACTCTAATTAGCTAGCCATTAGCCTAGCCTTGAGGAAGTATTCTGCTTTTTTCTTCATATTTTGCTTTTTGACTGATGTCACACCTGATAAGCTACTAGCTACTCTATTATTTGCAATGGAGTGGTTTGTTACCCCCTAGTGGTAAGAAATACAGAAGTACCTGTTCCAGGGATAGTTCATGGTAGGCCAACTTATTAATGTAACAAAGATAAGATTGGCATAAAAGGGATTGTGTGTGTAGTTATGTTCTGCCGTCCACCATTAAAGCATGTATCCACGTCTTCCCCTGCTTGATCATTTCTAAGACCCCAACCAAGAATATCACACTACTGATAACCATTAGAGCCAGTGGATCCCAACCCTGGTCCTTGAGGAATGCCGTCCTGCATGTTTTACTTGTTCCCCTGCTTTGATGCATCTGATTTGAGTGAATGGGTGATTAACAGGCTTCTGCAGAACTCAAGGAAGTAATTAAATCACCAAATCAGGCATAGTGGAGCAGAAAACAGTTGAAACATGCAGGATGGTGTTCCTCAGGGACCAGGGTTGGGAACCACTGTATTAGACAGAATATTGCCTAAATAAATCACCAAACTATCCCTTTAAAACCTAATCTGTTAAACTTGTTTAACAGCTGGTTTTTGCATTGTTTTTCAGGTGGGCTCTTTTTTCATGATCAACCTGTGCCTGGTCGTCATAGCAACCCAGTTTTCTGAAACAAAGCAGAGAGAACACGCCTTAATGAAGTCGGAGCAGCGTGCCCGACAGCTCCACCAATCGGCATCCACGCTGGCCAGTGACAGCCAACCGGGCAGCTGCTATGAGGAAATCATCCGCTACCTGGCTCACCTGGGCCGAAAGGCGTGGCGGCGGCTCTTCCGCTGCTGCTCCCGGGTGCACGCCCATTTTCACTGCACATGCACCTGCCTGAAAAGCCAATCTGGCGGTGGCAGTGGATCAGCCAGAGGGGGCGCAGTTGGAGAGATGAATGGACTCGCCAACCGGCACTCAGGCCACGTTCCCAATGACTTGCTGCACCTTCATCAGCTTTATCATCTTCATCAACAGCATCATAAGCAGACTCATCAGCCCGAGCTTGCTGTCAGTAACGGAGGAAACAGTTTTAATTATCCTTTCATATTGCCGCTCTTAAGTCGCCTGGATGGTAAGGGCCGGGACCAGAAGAGGATGGTTGCCACGGAGACCATCAACAGAGCGCCGCAGCTGGTTCTGGAACATGGTGAGAATGAAGGCATATGTGTTTTGTTCGTGTGTGTGTGATTGGTCTCAGTATTACTGTATTGGGCCTGGAGTTGTTTGGGTGTGGAGGTGTAGGACTGCAGCTCGTGGTGAAAGTGGATATTGGCTTTCAAACAGTTTGTTTTAACCCTCCTGCTGCTCCAAGATCAAAGTGACCCACAATGCCTCAGTGTTAAACCTGAGAGTTTTTGGTTCATTTTCACCCAAAGGCAGCAGGAGGGTTCCTTCTCTTGCCAACATAGATTTTATAAGGCCCAGGTTTGTTTAAGTGATTTTAGTAAGTGTGACTAATTTATTACCTCCTGAAAGTTTATTCTTTCCACTTATGAACTGCATCAACATGAGATATTCACTGATTATGATGTGTTAAATTTACCTTAGAAGCTTGACTGTGCAGCAGTTGTAAGTAAAAAAAAAACAGAGATTAGCTTTCTTTGAGCTCACTCTGCTCACTACCAACAAATAGCAGGACAAACTGATAACAATGCATTTTTCACTATTTTAAGCATTCAAACAGTGTGGCAATACTGATTCATGATTTAAGAACCACTGCAGATAACCATGCTAATAAAAAAAATTAATGGAAAATTTATTATGAAGTAAAGGCTTATAAAATACAGAAGTCCCTCATTTATCGCGGGGGTTACATTCTGGACTTCCCTGCAATGCGTGAAAATCTGAAAAGTAGCGACGTTATATTTATTTAAATATTTATATATAATGTATTTAAAATTTTTAAGGCTTTAGAAACCCTTCCCACACTCTTGCAATGTTATAAACTCTTAAACCTACGCCATTTTAACAACGTTCGTATATGTAGCTACTAAATTTTACTTACCATCTTGGCAGAACAGCAGCGGCTCAGTTCTGCTCCGACTTGGTTCCATTTCGGCGGACCTACGGCTGTGCATCCCTACTCTGAAGTCCTCGTGGGCCGGCTACCAGCTCTCAGATTTGCCAATGGGTCTGGTGGTCCAGTTCTGCTCCAGTTCTGGTCCTGTTCCGTGTGGCTCTCTGCGTCTGCTGGGTGCTGAAGTCACTATAAATTATTATTATTTTTTCTGATCAGATCAAAACTCAAAACTTTCCTTCTATGTATTTCAGCAGAAGGCAACAGAGCTTCTGGGCGGGGCACTGTTGGCTTCTGGGAAATGTAGTCCTTATGAGCGGCAATACAGTATAAGCTTATTGAGAGAAAACTACAAAATGGCGGCGTCTGTCCCAAGTATTTTATATTTTTGTTAACTTTTTACAGTACAGTACTGTTCCAATCACGTAATATTAGAATTGACAATCATGTGTCGTGTACAGTATTTTTTCCTCATGTTAAATCTTACTTTGAAAAACCGCGAAACAGCGAGTCCACGAAAGTCGAACCATGAAGTAGCGAGGGACTACTGTATAATCCAAATAACCATCTGTGTGTCTTTCACCTTCCCCTATAAACAAATTTAAACCAATAAGACCAGTGAACAAGATGCACTTGTATTTTATTCAAACTTGCTTAGGCTTGACAGAAGAAGAGGGACAACCTTTCTAAAAAAAAAAACAGTCTTTGGTGTCATTTTGCTATATTTCAAAGAAAAAAAGACACTAGATTTGACATGTAAACTTTGATTTTAATAACTTGCCTGTGTACCACACTGTTTTGTCCGCTGTCAGACAAACACATTGCCGTGAGGCCTAATCAGATGAATTCTCTCATGGTCATGATCTCATGATTACTGCTAAGATTCAGCTGTGTTGTAAGATATTAAAAAAGAGGTTGCGTATCCTTAGGGCTACAGATTTTGTAATGCATTGACAAGGCAAGCAGAATGCATTAACTCACCAGTGTATTCATATATTCACGTAATTATTTTCAAGGCAGCACAGACGAATTTCTCTTGCAAAAGATCAAACTGCGGGGTATTGTAATCCTTGTGCTTGACTAAACTAGAAAAAGGGAAAATTAAAAACATTATAATGTATGGAACAAATATTAGGTAAACAACACCTTGTAAACTCATTAAACAATATTGCCCTAATAATTAGAATTTTCTGGGAAAGGAATGAAGAGATGGGTTGAAATTGTTTATAAAAATGATGCAGCAAGGTAGTGAAGATTTCTGACAACAGTGTTTTGGGTTAAATGTGATTGTTATTTGATTAAAGGAGCAATTATTTTTGAAGAAAGACAATGTAAACACTCACCCACTTAAAGACTAACAAATAAAAATAAAAAATCCCAAAGGTAGCATCAAAGTTCATGCTCAGTAATCCAGGTATAAAATGTTTTTCAAGAAATCCTAACAGGTCACTTTTATAAAAGAAATCACCTTTCTGTTGAGAGATGTCAACATTATTCAACCAATTTTGGAGGAACATGAAAATAAGTGTTCAGAATCAAAGCAGCATTAAAAATAATTTTTATTTCAACTTTGAGAATCTCAACATCGCCAAGGGCTTTTATTCAGGCTTTTCAAAGCTCCTCAGTGTTCCAGTGCACTTTATTATTCAATCAAAGTAGCTTACTGCTGCAACTACACACATTCATATAAAACTGGTTAAGTAACAGAGAAAATACACATAAAAGTTTAATACCGTTCAGTAATAAATCATAAGTGTACTTGGGACACTTCTCACATACGGTATGTAAAATAAAGAAAAAGCAACTCGGGATGTCAAAAGCATCACGGTCACAGGAAGTGTATTATTCTAGTTATAAATGTGGACATTTTCAGCAAGTTTTCCTGCTAAAAGACTCTTTGCAGCCTGCGTCTTCTGTAGACACACACCACAGAACAACCATATTGGATTTACTATATCTGTCTCCGAAACATGAATTTGTTGTAATTGTGATGACAAACTCCTCATGCTAGATTAGTGTTTGCTGTTATGTCATCAGAGCGTTCCTCCCGAGCGGCTCGCTAATGAATTCTGCTGAAATCTTAGCCCTCCCAGAAGCACACAGACTTCCACAAAGACACTTGCACACATGCACATCCCTGGTATAATAAAAAAGCTCTGCGCAACAACACGCCAAATCCACTGTGGCTTTCATATTATTGAGTTTTTGTCTTCCGGAAATGAAAAAGGGGTCCACTTTTTTTTTCTTTGCTTGTTTTACTAAACAGGGAAATTTTAAATATTTAAAGTAAAATTAGCATTCTACAGAGGAATCAGAATCAGAATAGCTTTATTATCATTGCACCGAAGTACAGCAAGTTTATGTCCGTACAGTCATCCGAAAGATGGGCGGCGTGCACGCAGATGCTACTCTGAAGAGTGTGGCCCTTATTCTTTAGATAGAAGGGGAAAGACCATGAGGAAAGGATAGTGGTATTACAAAAAAGATCTCTTCACACCTTGTCCTTGTCAGGACATGATTTAAGACATCAAAAAAACTCTACCAGCAAGCACATTTGTAGACTCATACATATGCATTTGACAACAAGACGGTGAGATTTGTCCATGAAGCACTTCCGGATAGCACCATAGTCCTGGTAAGATGTTGGTGTCAGCCAGTACAGCTCTGACAAGCATTCACAGAAGGGTAGTGGTTGCGCGGGGGATAGAGCAGAGCATGGGGTTGTTAGAATCATTTCCTTCATGGCAGCATAGGATCTCAAGTGATGTGTTGGTGTTTGGAGTATGTGTTTGGGATGACTCTGAGCTACTACAACACCAAATTTTGTCTCTGCCTGAATGGCAGGCCAAAGTACAGCCGTTAAATGTGTGTGGTAAGGTTGATCAGCTGTGGCAGCCATCTTGAGTGAGGTTTACTCCTAAACGTAATGAGTTATAGAGGTGTCCAACAAAGTTCATTCATGTCCTCTGGACGGTTTCTTATTTTGTTGAGATGTTTCGTCCTTCATCCAAAAGACTTCATTTGTCTGAGGAGCCACAACAAACTCAGTCCCACAAGCAGCACACTCGCATAGTGGACCAACCAGTTTGCTGGTGATAAGATGGTTTCTGGTCTCAACAACAAAAAGTCCAGATGACCTGAGTGAACTTTGTTGGATATTTTTTACCTGGATGATTGAGCATGAACTTTGATGTTTTGAACCACTTTAGCTATGGCTGCCTCAGAGGAGTCAATGGGGAAGAAGGCGGGTCCCAGAATCCATCTTATCACCAGCAAACTGGTTGGTCCACTATGTGAGTGTGCTGCTTGTGGGGCTGAGTTTGTTGTGGCTCCTTGGACTGAAGAAGTCCTTTGGATGAAGGATGAAACGTCTCAACAAAAAAAGCAACCAGATGATCTGAGAACTTTTTTTGGATTTTGTTTTCTGGATTATTGAGCATGAGCTTTGAAGTTGTAGAGGTACAGCCACTGTGTTTCACTAAAATCAATCCAGCGGTTCAGAAAATATTTTGCTAAAAGACAGTGTTGACTAAGATTTTACACAAAAATGTCTGTAGCGCTTGTGTTGTGAACGACGCTCAGCTACTACCACACACAACTTTAGCTCAGTATCTGTTAAACTGACCTGAGTCAGAGACATTTTTGTTCTGGCTAATGTCCATAAGCTGTGGCAGCCATCTTAAATTGTACTGACATAATCAGTTGTTGATCAAAACTATTACTGCCTTTCACCTTCAGCATTAGGCACTAAAAATACAGACGTATCATCTTCTAAGGTTTGAGAGTTTCATCCATTTTTAGTTTATTAAATTGACAATAAATGCACTTTGTTACTGATAGTGAGTAAACATTTTAAAAGTCAGCAGAACAGGGGCTACAACAAAGGAAGCATTTAAGAGAGATGGTCTTTCTTTTCATTTAAAGGTCCTTAGATCTGGAACAGTTTGTCAACAGAAATAAAACAGTTAGATAAAAGTGTGATCGTAGAGAATAAAACAAATGTTAGAGTTTTTTACTCTCAGGTGAAACAAAGACAGATCTGCAAACACTGATTTACATCAGCTTGGACAGCTGTAACTGAACATTGTTTTTCCCCACATGCATTTTATTACGACCACATTTCTGTGTATTATTTGTGTGTATGTGTGTGTGTGTGTGTGTCAATGTCAATTTATTTCTATAGCACATAAAAACGATAGAAGCTGACCAAAGTGTTTTACAGTTGTCAAATAAAACAGAAAAAGAAAAAAGAATAAAAAGAAAAAAGAGAAATAGAAAATATGAAAAAACAAAAGAAAAAATAGAGAAGAGAAATAAAGAATTTCTAGAATTGCGCCGCTCAAGGTGGCTGCATGTTGGAGCAGCTCTGTTACTTTCATTCTGAGATTTTGCTTTTGGAAGCATTAATTCCTCTTTTTTTGGATGTGAATCACATTTTTTGGATGATTGTTTCCTCTGGTATCGGATGCTGCGCAGCTGGAAGGATTTTTACTGAAACTTTTTAAGTTTTGGACATTTGTTATGATGCGTAACCATGGCAACAAGGCAGTTTTCTACAACCAACAGCATCTGATTAACATCTCAAAAGCTCAAACAATATCTCAACTACAGCCCCAAATCTCAAATGAGTTGAAAAGGAGGCTCTGTGGATGCATTCTCAGCGGCCTGCCGGCTGTGCTCGGGTGCCTGGCCACTGGGATCCTGAGGCTGGCGGGGGACGCGACTCGTGGCAGCGGGGGGGCGGGGTCATCCCTCGGCGCCTGCAGTTGGCTGTCCGCAGCGACGGGGAGCTCAGCGGACTGCTGGGGGGAGTGGCCATCGCTTTGGTGGGAGTTCTGCCCGGCTTTTGGGCGGTCCTGCGACCCAGGGGAGCCGGGAGGCCGGCCGGGTCTGGGTGGACGGATCGGGCGGCATCTGCAGCCATTTTCTTGGGATCCACTGTGGGATGGACCTTTGCATGAGTTCCTTCCTGTCTACAGCCATCGGTATCTATGACATCTCTTGGTGAAGTGAGGATAACGAGTTGCAACAACAAATAATTCCCCTTTGGGATTAATAAAGTATTTTTGAATTGAATTGAATTAAAAAAGAAAAACAATGTTGTGTTGTACAGTAGTATTTACTTTAGCCATGTGGCTGTAAAGATATTAGCAGTTCAGTTTTCTTGAAAGAAGTGGTTCTCAAATCAGGGGTCCCGGACCCCTGGGGGGCCGCGATCCAGTGCTTGGGGGTCAATAAAAAAAATAAAAAAAAATA